TCCAGAGCAAGTGAAACGCATCGCTGCGCAGGTCAACTCGGTCCTGGGCTTGTCAGCGGAACCCACGGAATATGACTACGAAACAATCAAGTCCAAAGATGACAGCGATGAAGCCATGAGCAGCGACATTACCTATGGTGAGGGTAAATTTCTCTTCCAATATCACGGCAGCTGTGCGAGTCCCACCTGGCAGGTCTGGTATGGGGGCAAGGCCAGTGGCCCCATCTGGGAAGCTTCGCAAGGCAGTGCGCAGAAGCGGTCGGATTCGTGCTCTGTGTTGTCTTCGGCCACTCCGGCCACTGCCACAGCAAAGCTCTGAGCGTCTCCACGCTTTCCAACGTGCTTGGATCTGCTGTTGAGGCATCCGAGGGGGTTGGAACAAGAAACATAGCCAGCCGATCGTATTGTACCACATTGACTATCTGTACCATAGTATCGTAGTAGTCAAATTAGTCACCCTTCACACTTGACATGGTAATATACTTGAGATTTTATTTGATTAATGATCCAGTGCATAACTATTCAAATCTGTTCTAGTCGCAGAGGAGATAAAGTTCCGAAATGTAAAGGGATCAATAAATTGAAAGAGTGGAGATGGAGAGATCCTGACTGAATGTGACCGCGCCAAGACAGCCGGTGCGCCGTGCTGATTCCATTGGTGGGCATCCTGAAGTTCTGAAGGGCAAAGGGGAGAGGCCCTTCAATTACTACCTCCATTCGTTTTGGCTCACGGACCCTTTGGCGGGGCACGGCACAACTGCCGGGGACCAAAGCAGTGCAGTGTCTGTTATCCGTCCTATCTGAACATCGTGAGCGATTGATATTACGCAGCACTATATTCGCCAGAATGATTGCCAACCTAGTCATCGTAGTGGTCTTCGGCATTGGTCTGATGACTCTGCTATACATGATCACCCAGCATCAGCCCAGCAGACGAGCAGAACCTGATGAGAAGCGGCCACCTCTCAAGCTCCCGCTGATCGGTGATCTTCATAGCTCTCCGATCGATAAGCCCCTCGCCAACTGGGACGACTGGGCGCGGCGAAATGGGCCCATCACCCTTTCCAGGCTATTTGGGATCGCCCCAGTCGTGATACTCAACTCTTACGAGGCGGTCACTGAATTGTCAAGTCGCCGCAGCCAGTGGTATAGCAACCGGCCGCGTTCGGCGACGATGGAGATAATTACCGGAGCAGAGCCCGGACAGTCTCGGTTCACTCTGATGCATGACTACGATGATCACCTCAGGCTGCATTCACAGACTGCTAGCTCCCAGTCTCGGGGCCCCTCGCGGCGCCGAGATATCAGCCGTTAATGGAACTAGAGAACAAACAGTTGCTCTGTGACCTGTCTGATGCTCTCCACGGATGTCCTGATGGCGCCACCATCAGCACCGCAACGATCTATCCCCACCTGGAACGCACCCACTCAAGTATTATTCTAGGGTTACATTACGGCCTGCGAATCCTCCACCCCCCGAAGACGAACTTCTGCAGGAGATCATCGGCACCCAGGCCCAAGTGACCCATCTGGCTGCTAATCCCGGCCTACCAGATCTTATTCCAACCTTGCGCCAACTGCCTAATTTCTACCTCCCTGAGACGTGCCGCCGATGAGCTCTTCGCAACCCAATCGGACCTCTACACACGTCTATCTCATCGGGGGAGGGACTCAGACAGTTGGAACCCCACAAAGCAAGCCCTTGCAACGGCCGAGAAGTACACGGCGGTACCAGGTCTGGACCTTGCATTCACTCTGGCCACATCTATCCAAGGTGGGATGGAGACTTCTACCCGTCAACGCAGAGGCTCAGCGACGGTCCGACCTCCCGCAGCCCGTGTTTGGGCAGGGTTGACGCATCTGCCAGGGCAAGAGAATTGCTACAGATGGGGCCTTGCTGCAGGTAGCCAACTTGTTGTGGGCGTTTGATATTATGCCGGTGGAAGGGGAAGAGATGGATCCATGGACCATGACTGTCGTGGGTTTCATGACGATGCCCAAGGAGCTAAGGATGCGGCTGAAGCCTCGCGGTGACTGGGTGATGGAGGCCATCAAACGGGGACCTAAGACCGCGGCGGAGGACTTGGATCAAGTGATAGGGTCTGTCAACGATGTGGAGGGGTAAACGGATATAGTATTGATTGCTGTTGATGTTAAGAGGTACTGTCGGTTAAAGGACTGATGGGCACAGGTTAAGGTATGGTCTAATGGTGTGGCGTGGAAGCACAGTCTAACAACATGGTAGATGAGTCAGAGAAACTTAAATTAGAGGAAAGTAAGAATAAAGTTGGCTATGAAAGTAAGCTTGATACTATAACTTTCTTGTTGTGAGTTTGGATTTGTAGATGCGGCCCGGTCGCCGAATAGAAAAAGCAATGGGGCAAAAACAAAGTAGTTTTGTACGAGAAGACCGAAAAGCAGAGCAGAAACACCCAAAGCAGCCCGCCAAGTCAGCATAAGATTACCAATAAGGCTTATCAGTGAGATAGACACGGCAGAAATTCATGAATGTTGTTTGGTTGTTGGATAAGCAGGGAATCATAATAATGTCTTATTATCTCCAGTCAAGGGCAAGGGATTGCCGACCGCGGCCTGATTCTCCGCATTCCCGACCGGTCCAGCGACTGGAGAGAGCAGCCTCTCGTTGTCCGGGATAAGACCCTACACAGTCTCGCTGCAGTCAAAGATGAACGATAAGTACTGATGGGGGAGACCCCCGTGACTATAATAACAAGGAATTATACATTCACGGATGAAGTCAGTCCTCCGTCATCCTCGACCGACCGACCACCCCGCCCCTTTCCGGAAATATAAGTCTGATGCAGAAAGTATGAACACCGATTCTTATTATACAAACGATCGTGCATGATTACTGTTTCATCATGTCGCTGCTCACGCTGCACGTCGGCAGCAGCCTGGCACAGGCAGTGCTGACCATTCTCATGACCTCCTATGGCTACGCCGCTACAATCGTTATGTCCTTTACCGTTTGTCGGCTCATTCTATTTGGCAGTCTCTTGCCACTCTATCTTGGGAAGCTGTCATGCACTATCATCCCCACAGTGGTTCGGAACTTCCTCAGCCTGTTCTCCAGTCAAGGGAGGAAAAGGCTCATCCGAGAGGCAGAAGAGTACCGGGGTCAATGTGAGTCTCTGGCCATCGCCCAGTGCCAAGGCACATATCGCTTCAGCGAGTCCAATTTGTATCGAGTCCGTCCTCAGGGACCAGGATGGATGCCCGACTTCCCCTGGGCTGATTGCATGGTGGAGATGGCCATCTGTGGAGCCACTGTCCGCTTCATGCATCAGAAACCAACACTCGACGGTCCCGCAGGCCGCAGGCGCCCGATCATCTTCCTGCATGGGAATCCGAGCTGGAGCTATATTTGGAGAAATGTATAGATGTCAAAGATCAATCTTTAGATCAGAGTATGGCTGACCCCAGCAGATCCTTCCTCATCTGCTGGACCAAGGTCATGAAGTCTATGCGCTCGACTGGCTCGGGCACGGCCGCAGTGACAAGCCGACCCATCCCGAATCGGTTACCTTTGAACTGCATATTCACACGCTTATGCAGCTGTTCAAGGTCCACAATCTCCGCCATGCAGTCATCGTCGCGCATGACTGGGGTGGGTACGTCGTTGATTCCGCTAGGATCCCTTGCTGTCTCCGTCCATGGCTCATTGTCTCCAGGTGCGTCGCGTTGTGCGCTATCCCGCAGCTGCCTCAGATGGCCTGCACTTGCCTCCTTCTCCTGAACTCCTTTCTGCCACCGCGTCCGGACGAATGGAATCTTCACTACAGCTTACTCTATGCCATCTGGTTTCTTTCGACGGGCCTCCTGGGCGGCTATATGCCCGAGTGGGGAGTGATGCGTTTCATGTCCCCACACTTGTCGCAATTCGAGATCGATGGATACAGTGCGCCATATCGATCTCTCCCAGTAGCCACCAAGGCCAGTGTCTTCCGGTTTGGGCATATTGTCCCGGTTACACCGCGCTTTGCCTTACACGCCTACCGACAGACGCGGATCTGGAAATTGTTGGAGGGTCTCTGCGGACCGCGTCATTTTGACAACCTAAGTCAACAGGCCAGACTGGCAAAGCGCGGGGAAGAGGTCCGACAGAGCTGGAGAGCGTGCCTCGGAAAGGGTAATCCAGACGTTTCGGTGGTGTTCGGAGAGCAAGACCCGCTCTTGAAGCTGTACAAGGACATCCTCGTCGATTGCATCCATCCGGCACATATGGTTGAATGGGCGCCACAGGGCATATGGCTTTCTGGAGGAGGCCACTACTCCATGGAAGAGAAAGCGGCTGATATATCCCTCTTGATCGAAAAGCTTGCAAGCCAATGATACAATATGACCTAGATAGTCATCAGAGGTTCTTCTCTGCTGGCGAGGGGACAATCCAATTGCAAGCAAAATAGCGAGTTGGCAGGCAGGGAGATTGAGTGCTATTGAGGCAGAATTCACAGATCATCCATTCGCCAAAAGCGAAACAATGTCATAGGACACTCGATGATACATACTCCGATGGATTGAAAACTGAAATAATGTCGAGGTTTACGAATGTAGTGCTGCAGTGAATCCCTCTCCGATCGGCCGAGTGGTGATCCGAGCGCGAGTTTGTTGACTATCGCGAATTGTATCGTAATGGTCCTGGGATTCTCGCTTTGCTTACCACCATCAACAAACCATTTTGCCACCAGTCTGTCAGACAGCCGCTGAATGAGCGACAACCGAGTCACTGCCCTTCATGTCCTACAGAAGGCAGACTTAGTCCAGCGAAACAGTGGCTAATTTCGTGTGCATATGGGATACATGTCATGGGAAATAGGAAATTCTTAAGTCCCACAGCAGATAAGTGAAGTATATGTTCCAGCTCGACTATTATTCCTTATTACTGTGAGTTCAGAGGCAAGCTAGGTCTCCACGTGAAAGAAACACCTTAGTATGAATGAAAAGCAGACTAGTTATCTCGGCTCACACAACCCAATGCCCTCAACTGCATCAATAAAAAACACACCATTCGTGCACCCTACTGACTTCACCCTAATTTCCTGTTTCCCACTTTTCCACATGTTGAATGCTTCGGAAAAGGGAATAAAAGCAAGAGATTTCAAACCTAGGGGTATGTTATGGGGAGCACAACGACATCCTGAATACCATATGGCATATTTAATACGACTCCATAGCGTCTCCCTCACTTCTCTTCAGACCACCGCCAGCCAGCGAAATGATAGCATCAGTAGGGATGGCCTCTTCGCCACGTCGCTTGAGACCACCACCAGCTAGCGAAATAATGGCGTCAGTAGGGATGGCCTCTTCGCCACGTCGCTTGAGACCACCACCAGCTAGCGAAATAATGGCGTCAGTTGGAATAGCCTCATCACCACGTCGCTTCAGGCCACCACCAGCCAGTGAGATGATGGCGTCAGTAGGGATAGCCTCATCGCTTCTCCTGCCCAGACCACCACCGATGAGAGACCCCAAGGCATGATCAGGGATAGGCTCCTGACGGCGGGCATACTGACTGTTACCGGTCTCATACGGACAGATCTCGGTATCGGTGCACACGGGGCCGGGACCAGTGGGGATGTCGACATCCGCATTGGCATTTCCATTGTTGGCATTACCCTTGTTTTATAATCAGTCACTACACATAGATCTGAGTATGCATGGTCTTACCTTGGGGACAGGCGCTGCCAGCACCGAAGTAAAGAGAATAACTGCAGTGGCCAAAGAGGTCTTCATAGTGAACCGTTTGATTTCTGGAGTTTTTTGGGAAGTGTGACTTGAGCTTCTGGTGTAATTTCGTGATGGATATATTAGATTTGAAGAGGAATCGCTCCTTTTATATACCTCGTGGCTATTGGGATATTCCTTTTCTGATTTGCTTTGTGTGAGACAACCAATGTCACTATAGGGTAATGTGTGCGAGGCAACTATCCTTCAGCTCATGTTGATCAACCTACAGCAATATCACTAAATTCAAGAGAGCTTGTTCTACATTCAACAGGCAGGTATACGATTCGAGAGCTCTCCCCGCATAGCTAGGCAAAGGGTCGGTCTCACATGAGGCGGGAGATAGCCCGAACTCCGCGGCATTTCGCAAGGCAGGGTAAAGCGCCATGTCCGGAGCCTTACGTATGCAATAATGCTCTTGGATGCTTGATGAGCGAAGAAGACCGAGTTGGTTGTGCTGAAGCGGCTGTGGTAACGAGAGGGGATCCCCGGGAGGGGTTCGGCTTCGAAATGCCAACGGATCAAGAACTGCCTGATTTGTGCCAACCTCATGCATGATCGAGGAAAACAAGCAATTCAGACCAACTGAATCTGACGAAGGCAATCATTGCTCTCCACTCAACCTGCAAGTAGCATGTCCTGGAGTGGGGACTAGTTTCTGCCGGATCTTACACCCGCCGAGGAGAACTAAGATGAGCTAAAATCTCACGGGTAGCCGGTGATCCTCTCGGCCGCGTTCAGCCCCAGAAAAAGCACGTTCGTCTTTAGAGGCAAAGTGTGATAATGTGTGATAATGCAAAAATGAAAATACATACATGGCGCCATTTATATTACTAAGATGTTATCATATTGACTGATTCCATAATCGGTAGTAATGTGGCGTCATAAACTGAATCCGGGCACCCTATCCAACAATATCTTGTCGACGACCAGAAAGGACAACGTTACTCCCCTGGATGACATGTGACTAGGTATATATATTGCATATGTATCTGAACTGTTTTGGTGTCCCTCATTGCCATTTTTGTCCCCATGATGCTCCATGGCTAAGACGCGACATTGGACCTCCTCGGAATAAGCAATTAACAGCCTCGGAGCAGCTCAGAGATATGCTGGCTATCAGTAGTCACAACGAGCTCGACTAGGATGGTTTTGTTAATAGGGCTATTGGCAAATGGCATGGTCCTCGATCTGCACCTCCAGAAGTAGTCGGTATTACGGAAGTCCAGATGCCGACCCACCCACCACACAGAAGCATTGAATAGGAAAGATCTACAGGCCACCCGAATCCCGGCTTTTTGCCACACAAATAGTCCATGTGCTTAGGCTCACATGAACGATAGCTCATGCATGCCTAATAGAATTCAGTACCGAAAAGGAAAAGCCGCTTGTCTGCTCATGGATCTTCTGGCTCGTGCCTTGTCCAACATGGGACTACTCAGAAACCGGGAGACCACACCTGATACAAGCCCATCTTACCGAAGATGTCAAAGTTATATTAGAATATATTACGCTCCATTATAGTGAACCGTATGGCCGTGTCTCGAGCAGCTGGGCCCTTCAAGTTTCCGGCTAGCAATGACAACGGAAGAAGTTAGATGGTTGGTGAAGCAGAACTACCAAAGCGGAGGATTTCCTCAGGGGTATCACTGTCTGTATCTGTTTCGGTGAATCCCGAAAAATATGAGATTATGCATTAGTATACTGGCTTGTCCTACTTACATGTACTGGTGATTGGCCTTCTCCTCACCTAGACGGGACTATCGATGTGGCATCTAAACAGCAGAAGGAAAAGGCCCGGGCTACCAGCCAAGTCGGATTCCTTCACCCGAGCATCACCGAGTAGTGGCCTTGGATTCGAGCTATGGACTTGTTCTCGCAAGCCGCGGATAGAGATCAGTTCCGCGATATGGTAGGGGGTGAATGCAGACTAATCCACAAGCACAGGCTGGGCCCAGGCACGGCATCCGAACTCTAGATTAACATAAAATTGTGTCATCAGGTGCCTATAGCCATGAGACGCCCCCAATAGCGTCAATGCGTGTACACGTCGTCAAGTACCACAAAAGGGGCAGGATTTACAATGTACATACGTTCGGGGGTCTTCGTCTCCTATATATACTTCTCGTGAAGAGAATTATATCAAGGAAATAAGCTCGCCATCAAGTCATCTCACATTTCTTTCTTTAAGCTGCCTAAATGCCTTTCCATTCCTGCGATATACCGAATAATCACATGATATACGAACAAATTGCTGAGCGCTCAAGCTTCGAATCACTTCCTATTGTGAAGGATACGCCTAAGCGGAAGTTTAGGTATCTGAAGGTGGAAGGGATATCCACCATTATACTTCTTCTTCTTGCCACATTTGGGGCCATTGATCTGTGTTACCAAGCATTCAGTAGGATTTACACTACGAACTATATCCATATCCATTCAAACACACAGACCGAGCCAGATATATCCTGTAATTGCGGAGACACCGTTACCGAGGCCCTTTCAAACAACTGCAAATATGATTCTTTAGCTGCGGCGTGGCTTCCGCCATCTTGTCGGAACGACAACCTCACCCTGGCTTTCGAAAAGGCGGGGTCAAATCCGGATGGAAGCTGGCCTTACTATGCTGATCTGAACATGACGCGACCGCTGTCACTGAAAGAGGTGTCTCTGCTTCCTGATACTAGGGTGGGGGGTGGAGACGCAAAAAATGTCTTTTTCACGACCCGCAGGTGGCATTTAGTGCACTGTATGTATTATTGGAAGAAAATGTTCTTGTCGCAACAGCTGGGAACAACAATTGAGAAAAGATATAACAATGTGGGGCATATTGAGCACTGTCTCATGGCTGTACTAAAACAGGAAGAAGGCCTGGATGAGCTTACCACGGGGGCTGGAGTGGCGTTGCACTCGGATTGGATCAATGGGCGGCCGGATATACAAGACCATGACCATGAACACGACCACAACTAATAGTGTCTGCGATCAATCATCTACAAAAGAACAAGCCTCCCAAATTTCCGTGGTCAATCAGATAGCAGTAACCTGTGTTTGTTGGAAAGTGGTGTCGCCTATTCATTTGGAGACTGCAACACTATGACATCATTTCTTCCGAACTGTGTTCTTGGCAATAAAGAGTGTGGCGTCTTCCTGCAATTACGACTGGGAATTACGAATCTCATCCACAAGCTAACGGAGACAATTTTCCACTCATGATGAATAGACGCCCACATTCCCAACCGATTGTGCCTCTGGAGTGTCAGTATTGTCGAGCAGGGAGATATTGTTGCTGGCTCTGAATCGTTAGAACTCCTTACCTCAACTTCAATATTGAAAATGAAACATCGCTTACATCGATACAAAAGTGCCCAGTCAGTGACAGATCCTTATATACATACTCCACACCTGATTAATATCTTCCATGTACTGCGAGGAATAGTGATAATACGGGAACGCTTAGGCCTTCGTTGAAGTCCAATACTCGGGTTGCCAACGTGAAACTAGGATAGATTCATGGCGACAGCCCTACTTCATCTTCTACTGGAAGTGTATATTGTCCTCTGTATCTTGCATAATGATTTAAGGCTTTCATGGCTGTCAAATCTGGGCTCAGAATGTAAAAGTGTAACGCCGTAGGTCCAGGGATGTCGCAGGTCTGGACACCATGATAGCACCTAACGCCACATAAAACATCTCTGAGTAGGTAACTGTAGCGTCGCGATCGTGTTGGTGATAATATGCACCAGGCGGCTTGAAAGGATACAGACAGCCAAGAAACCCAGGTCCAGGCTAGTTCATCCGCATAATATTCCGTGATGTGGACACCCTACCGCCCGAGATGCTGTCTGGATAACACACTTACTATTGCACCTCACAGGACCTTGCTCGTTTGTCAACAGGGATGTGTATTCATCACATAGGAGAATGGTATACTATGTCAACAGCTCAGTCTGGAAGCCGGTACTAGAGGGTGCATCTGAAGATGACCTCTTGATAAAGCTATCGCAGCGTAAATTGGGTGCCTAAAGTAACAGGTCAGGCGGGGACCATTATTGGAGAGGTAAGGCTCTATTTTGCTAGCTCTGTGCAGCTTGAAGGACACACTTCTCTCTCTAGAAGGGCAGGAGAGGCATTCAAGATCTCAGTGCATCTTCCAATATTGCGGTTAAAATATTTACGAGCAGATTATAAAGTGATTGAGTAGGGAGACCTATCATCCCTAAGTTTGGGCTCGTTGCTGGCCTTTCTTATCGAAGCTTTCTGGCCTGATGCTGGAGTATATAGGTCACGAGTCTCTAATATTAATAATTACTGATTGGGAAACAGGCTAGGTGATAGTTTTACTCATGGTTCATCATTGAATTCCCGTGGAGAATGTGCTCGATGTGCTTGTTGAGTACTCCGTAATATATATAGAATTTAGAGGAACATGCTTCCTAAGCATAATCTTCTTGGGTCTAATAGCGGCTATTTTTGCAAGAGTCAGGGGAGAATTAGTAAGCAGGTTGAAGGATAGACTGCTTATATCATATCCGCACGTCAAGCCCGAGTAATTGTACAGCCAACAGATTAGTTTTACTCATTAAGCGTTGAAAATGTTGTCAGAGAATACAAAAACGGGTTATCTACTATGAAATGTTATTTTAAGTATGGTTAGGGCCACTGGAGAGTCCATCTTTGCATGAAGACCACCATTGCTTAACATCGGGATACCATAAAGCGATACTATATATTTTATGAGCTGCATCCTACAGGTGAGGAGTTATAATTGTTCTACTGAATCAAAACCCAATTGAATTGGAGAATTGACTCGTTATGTCAATTAGTTGCGTAGAAATGCTGATTGAACGCTCAAAGACTTGGATTAAATGAACCAGGATGTAGAGTAGCATAATTCATTGGTCATCATGGTTTAGAAAATAAAAGGTCTACAATTTAGCACCTTTTGTATTGCGTAGGAAGGCCAATGACTCCGCCATCACTTTCTCCCATTCCTTGGTGGGCCGGGATGT